AAGAATGATACCGTATAACTCTCACAACAACGATGCTTTAATCAAAGAGCTTAAATTCGCTCTAAATCCGTGAGGGAATAACAAAATTCGGCCAAAATATATCCGCGTGCCGGGTTTGCTGGACAAAAAGCGGAAGTCGTTGAACAACTCAAAATACACTCAACCCTGATTGGACAACGAATATCAACAAACATTTCAAATTTTTCTCCACTGGGAAGGGAGACAGTACTTGGAACAATGGAACAGTACTGTAATAATTTGATTATTTGAATCAAAACAATTCACAAACGTTATAAAGTCTACTACAAGTCGATTATATGTGTTACTGTAAATGTAACTGCAAATATAACTATAACTTTACGCTGAAACATCTTGTCAAATAGGGTAAATTACTATCCGTATTTGCGGACTAAACTTCTTAAATTTAAATAATTAGATTTGCACTGGTTTACCCCCGACAAATTTGTTAATTGTTTTGATTCAAATTTATATTACATTACTGACTACTGAAAATTTGAAATGTTTGTTGATATTCGTTGTCCAATCAGGGTTGAGTGTATTTTGAGTTGTTCAACGACTTCCGCTTTTTGTCCAGCAAACTCGGCACGCGGATATATTTTGGCCGAATTTTGTTATTCCCTCACGGATTTCAGAGTGAATTTAAGCTCTTTGATTAAAGCATCGTTGTTTTGAGAGTTATACGGTATCATTCTTGCAGGGGATGTCGATTAATCGTGAAAGAAATGCATTAAAGGCGAATAATCGAGGATAGTTTCGTGTGACATATGCCAAGTCTGGGCTATTTTGGTCTCAATGTTTCCTTTCTTCCCTCGTTATAAGGAAGGCACAGGCGGGCGCGGGCAAATCGAGCCTGGGCCTCTTGTGGTTAACTATATTATTCACAGCACTACCTGCGAACAGGCATACTCTGGCGCCCGGAATTCTGGGTTTTCTGATTATGCGTGTCTCAGAATGCTGCAAATGCCATTTCCGGGATTTAAATTTAAAAACTTTCCGTGCCTTCGGCACGAACACCCCCTAATATTTCATAAAGTGCCCGCCACTTGCTTAAAAAGTCTTAAAACTGTTTATTCTACCGATAAATAAAGGGTTTTTTATTGACTGGGATTTCAATAACTGGGACTTCTAATAAAAATCCAACTGGGACTGGGATTTTGCCAAAATTTCAGGTGGGAAATGGGATTGGGACCCCCCCTTCAGGACCCTCTTACCCATAGGCCATAATCAATTGTTTGAAGTCCGATACCTTCTTCTATATTCAATATATTTTCGCGGTTCGGCCGCCATCGATTCCGGATGCTGGAATCCAACAGAAGCGTGAATTTCATTGGTTTTCGGCAATGTGCAAGCCTTTCATGGCATTTTTAAATCAATGCGTAGCGTGCGCGCCCAACTCAATATCAAATTTAAAAAAATATTTCCTGCTGGCCTATTGCAACAAAACTTTCACGCACATTCCTTATTACCTAAGCTAACTTTTGCCACAATAATATTTGGCAAATTCTGAACAATTTCGTCGCAATTTAAGTTTCTTTCCAAAATGAAACTTTTTTCAATATTTTCTGCAAACTAATGTTACTTTTTGCGGTGTTGTTCGTATTTAAGCCAGTATCATATTAAAGCGGTGCATATTATATCACAAGGCAGCCAATATATGCAGAGACAATCACATTCAAACAAGGACAATACCAAAAACAACGAAATGGGCTTACCCACAAAGAGTTGCAAAAAAGAATATAACGAAGATTCACTGATATAATGCATTCATTTTAGTTACACAGACATACTACCACAAACAATCGTTCCATCTTATTAAGGTTCCCAGCAGAAAAGGTAAAATATTAAACGAAAAAAAGTTAAACTAATTCAATTACTAATCATACCGAAACAAAGCTATGACGAGAATGGTTTGCGATTCCAGTGCGAACACTGCCTGATTCCACCTGCGTGTTTACATGTCCAGATAAAGACAGCATGTTCTCGCTTTCTTTCAGTTATTTAACATGGTTTGCACCTAATTGTTCTTTTCGAATTTCCAGTGCTCGTTCATAGTAATTCTTAGCTTTCTCCAGGTCATCATTCTTATAATACACGTCACCAAGGCCGAAGTAAGAGTCCGCAACATCAACATGGTTTGCACCTAATTGTTCTTTTTGAATTTCCAGTGCTCGTTCATAGTAATCCCTTGCTTTCTGCAGGTCATCTTTCTTATAATACACGTGACCAAGGCCGAAGTAAGCAGCATAGGTAAGCAGTGCTCTCACAATCAAGTTTTCGAATTCCTTAGAAAAAGCTCGCAAATTCCTCAGATTCCTTAAAATTCCTTAAATTGGTAAAATTACCACAAGGCCTGATCACACAGTTGCAAAAAGTGTTTTTCCTCCTTTTTTCTGTTTTTCAGTTTTAACCTTGTTTTTATCAGTTTTTAACCTTGTGCCATAAAGAAAACATTCAATATGATGTATTTTTAATCGGTTGCTGCATGAAGAGCTTAAAAAATCTGTAGGACTGTAGATTTCAGAAGAAACAGCATATACTGACATTTAACTTTTGAGAATTTTAATGAAAATACCAGTGGCGACACTTTACGAAATATTGGGGGGGGGGGAAATTTTAAAATTTGAATCCCGGAAAGCCAAATTTGCAGCGTTCTGAGAACACATTTTGTAAAAAACTAGGGTTTCAAAACACTGTTTTAATCCAGGATAAAATGTTTCAGAAATCCCTTAAAAAGATCCTCAAAAACCTAAATTCCTTAAAAAAATCCTTAAAACTCTTCAAAATTCCTATTTTTAAGGATAATTCCTTAAAAGTGAGAGCACTGGAAGTAAGAGTCCGCAACATAAACATGGTTTGCCTGCCTCGTCCCCAGGCGCTAATTAAAAATTTCATGCGAGTCACTATATGAAAGATTTACATGAAGTAGTGCATCGCGATGAACGCTCATATCCCACTCCCCTTTGTGCGCCTAGAATGTGACGCACTACTTCATGTAAACCTTTCATATAGTGACTAGCATGAAATTTTTTTTATTAGCGCCTGGGGACGAGGCAAATGGTTTGCACCTAATTGTTCTTTTCGAATTTGCAGCGCCTGTTCATAATAATCCTTAGCTTTCTCAAGGTCATCTTTGTTCTTATACACGTTACCAAGGAGTTTGTAACAGGTAGCAACACGAACATGGTTTGCATCTAATTGTTCTTTTCGAATTTCCAGTGCTCGTTCATAGTAATCCTTTGCTTTCTCCAGGTCATCTTTATCCCCGAGCCAACGGCGCGAAGCGCCGTGCGAGGGTACTAATTCCCCCCGGCTATTTACACCCGGGAAAACGAAACCATTAGCGAAGTCTAAAGTTCATCAAATATCGCGGGCGTGGGTCACTGTGCGTGTTTCGGTGGGTGGTCATCCTCACTGATCTCATAATATAGCGGACTGTCATGAATAGCCAACACGGATTGGTCCAATTTAAAATTGGCATTATAACGGCTGCATAACAACAGCGAAATTGATTTGATCTTTGATGATTTCTTGCAAATATATTTCATTTTGCAAGATTTTGTAAATTTCAAAAGATTTATGATGAAATAAAGGCAAAAGAATTGCTAAAGGAAGGGAGTAACGGTGCCGACGTTAACGAAGGTAAGTTTGTTTTAAATATTGATGCATTGTTTGCTTTTAATATACTGTAACTACTTTAAAAGCCGATCGTTGAGTATAAGTATGAAACAAGACAGCGTATTATTTCAGTGTTTCTTTATTGATTACACTTATTATTATACTAAGCAAAGGTATTTGCATGGGAGAATTTGGAATCATTTTATTTCGAACTCAAAGTTTATGGATAAAGGCAGTTTTATAGTTCTATATTAAAAGAACACTTTAAATTAAAACGTTTTGCGAAGCGTTTGTGGTTGAATTCTACCTTAAGGTGGCTCCCTAGGGTTTTTTAATTTACTACACTATAGTATTCAGGAGACTCCTGTTTCTTTACTTTACATGACACGAAGACGAAATTTATTGGACACATTGACAATGTTCTCCTGAACATTGCAAATTGCTAGTTTTGTGTTAAAAATATGTTGTCATGGCAACAGCATGCTTAGAATAAAGCTCAAAATTTGTCTTTTTCAGGTCATTTTAAAAATTCCCTTCGGTGAAATTTTTTAAAACTTTGCATAAAAGATAATACCTGTGTAATGATTTTTTCCTCTCAATTTAAAAAAATTAAATCGATATGTTTCTTAGAAAATAAAAAAAACGTCAAAAATCAATATTAAAAATTTTCTCTTCGATTTAATTTTAAGAAAAAAGGATATTGCACTTGTTGTGCCGATATTAAAAAATGTGCAAAGTTTTAAAAAATTTTACCGAAGAAAAACAGAGAAATTTGGGTTTAATTTTGGCAATTTTTACGGATTTTTACGCGAACAATTTAATACCCCAACTGACGTGTACATGCATTCTGCATAAAACAACAAGGCATGACTTTTTTGAAATCACAAAATATAAATTATGTTTGATATACTGTTTATAACTGTGTCGGTTAATGGTCAACTAAGCGTGGATTATACATGTAAAATTGGCAAAGAAATTTAGGTAATTATTGGTTATGACTTCTTGGTATTATATAAATTTGAAAAATGTTTGTCAAAATTCGTCCCGTGCGAGTTAATAGTACTATCGTCGGATGTTTTCGCAAAATGCCCGTTCAAATTTCAGTTTTTATAGTGGTATGTTTGGAGTTTCGGCCCTGCTCATTTCACCCGTAGAGGGCTCATTATTTAAGTCATCTTTATTGTCATAAGTGCTGCTAAATTGTGGAGAAAACACTGCAAATTCTTGAGGAAACTTTATATCATATCCCAATGTTCGCGATCGAACCTCGCGTACGGCGGTTCAAGAAACTTCCAGAATACCGCTTGAAAAAAAACAAGTTTACATTATATTCTTTTGAAACATCACATCCAAGTATCGTTTTGGCTTTTAGAACTCTTTTTATGCTTTTGACTAAAGCAAAGTTCACACTTTTGTTTCAAAGTTCACACTTTTAGTTTACATATATACGAAGAACGTAACCCCCGGAAATAAAACCCTAGGGAGCCACCTTAAATTGAAGCTTATATTATGTATAATAACATACCTAACATATATATGTTTGGGAAATTGATAATTTTGTAATTAAAAGTGATATTTTTAGGGGATTTTTCATTTGTAAAATTATTCTTAAGAAATTATTGTGTTACCATGACAACTACTTTAAATACTTCACGTCCGGAAAATAAAATGGTCTTGTCAGCAAGGCGAGGGTTTCTGCATGCATGTAATTTCTAGTTATAATACACGTTACCAAGGTCGATGTAAGAGTCCGCAACATCAACATGGTTTGCACTTTATTGTCCTTTTGGAATTTGCAGCGCCCGGTCATAATAATACCTAGCTTTCTCAAGGTCATCTTTGTTCCTATACACGTTACCAAGGAGTTTGTAACAGGTAGCAACAGAAACATGGTTTGCACCTAATCGTTCTTTTCGAATTTCCAGTGCTCGTTCATAGTAATCCTTAGCTTTCTCCAGGTCATCTTTAGTATAATACACGTTACCAATGCCGATGTAAGAGTCCGCAACATCAACATGGTTTGCACCTAATTGTTCTTTTCGAATTTCCAGTGCTCGTTCATAGTAATCCTTCGCTTTCTCCAGGTCATCTTTATTATAATACACGTTACCAATGCCGATGGAAGAGTCTGCAACATCAACATGGTTTGCACCTAATTGCTCTTTTTGAATTTCCAGTGATCGTTTATAGTAATCCTTAGCTTTCTCCAGGTCATCTTTATTATAATACACGTTACCAAGGCGGATGTAAGAGACCGCAACATCAACATGGTTTGCACCTAATTGTTCTTTTCGAATTTCCAGTGCTCGTTCATAGTAATCCGTAGCTTTTTCCAGGTCATCTTTCTTATAATGCACGTCACCAAGTCCGATGTAAGAGGTAGCAACATCAACATGGTTTGGACCTAATTGTTCTTTTCGAATTTCCAGTGCTCGTTCATCGTAATCCTTTGCTTTTTCCAGGTCACCTTCCCGATAATACACGTCACTAAGTCTGCAGTAAGAATTAGCAGCATATTGATGGTTTGGACCGAATTGCCCTGTTATAATTTCATGTTCCTGTTGAAAATAAGCTTTTGCTTTTTCCACTTCACCATTTTCAAGACACGTTCCACCAAGGAGACTGTAAGTCCAGGCGACGCGAAAATGGTTTGGACCTAATTGTTGTTTTTCAATTTCCAACATTCGTTGATAATAATCCATAGCCTTATTTATCTCACCTTTACGCCGATCCACGTTACCAAGGTTGCCGTAAGAATTTGCAACTTTATAATGGTTTGGACCTAATATTCCTTTTTCAATTTCTAGTGCACGTTCGTAGTAATCCAGCGCTTTTGGTAGGTCCCTTTTTTTTCATACACTTCACCAAGGTTGGAATAAGAATCTGCAACCTCAATATGGTGTGAACCTAATTGTTTCTTTTTAATTTCCAGTGACAGTTGATAATAATCCATAGCTTTTTCTAGGTCGTGTTCTTGATGGTAAACTCTCCCAAGGTTGTTGTAGGTCTTACTTACATCAACATGGTTTGGACCTAATTGTACTTTTTGAATTTCTAGTGCACGCTCGTGATAATCCTTGGCTTTTTCTGGGTGATATGTATCTTGGTACAGTTTACCGAGGTTGTTGTAAGTCTCAGCAATATCAACATGGTTCGGACCCAATTGTTCGTTTTGAATTTCCAGCGCCTGTTCATAATAATCCTCTGCTTTTTCCAGTTCACCTGAAACATAACACACTCGGCCAAGGTTCCTGTATGAATCCCCAACCTTAAGATCGTGTTGACCCAATTTTTCTATTCTAATTTCTAGCGCCAAATTCTGAGATTGCTTTGCTTTTACCAGTTCACCTAACTCGTTGTATAATAAACCCAGCTCGGTGTATATATCCGATACAAGAATTTCATCTTTTGAGCAATTCCAAATCTGAATGTTTGAATTTTGAAATTCCTTTGAGAGTTCAAAATCACAATAGTAACGTAAAGTTCTACCAAAAAACAGGTATATTTCGGAAATCTCAGTTTTTTCAAATTTTGTACTTATTGAATATAATGCGTCATGTTCTGGAAATATTTTTTTAATTCCTGTATAAAATGCTTTCAAATGTGGATTCAGTTTGATTTGATCTTCTCTTTCTTTGAAGTAATAAAGAGTTTTTACAACGTGGTAGACTGGACTTTCAACGCTAGAGGGAAAAACTGATTTAACTGCTTCATGAACAACACCATGAAGCCGGATATCACGTTCTTTATTTTCAGCAGGAAGGAACAAACAACAATTTGTTATTGCAAGAAAGATATCTTCTTCATCTAGATCTTCATCTTGCTGCTGCATGTACCGGACAATAATGTCGAGTGGCAGTTGTTCGAAAGAGATTAGGGAGAAAAAGTTGAAAGTGTGTTTCAAAATGCAATCACGTTCTACACATTTTTCAACAGCTAAACGCACAGCTGTTGACATGGTAGACGAATACGCTGAATTTGTCTGGAGAAGAGATTCTTCTGTGCGTGTTCTTTTCCCTTCTTCTAACTTTCGTAAATAATCTTTCCATGAAAAATCAGGAGAACAATTTGAGCCGATGACTTTTCTCATGTACACGGCCGCCGCGGCGATTGCCAGAGGTTGCCGATCTAATTTTTCTGCAACTTCATCTAACAACGGATCAGTAGCATCAGTTTTTGATATCGAGGCAAGAAGCTGGCGACATTCTTTCTCATTCATGCCAAGACTGATAGAAATATGTTTAGTTTCCACACTATCAGGTGGGATAGAAGTTCCGTTTTGCGTTGTTAATATAATTTGGCCGTTATTCCAAACTTTGTCACCTCTCTGTGGCAGTAAATGGGCAATGTTTTCGAGATTTTCCACATTGTCAACAATAATCCACCACCTCTTCCAATTCTTAATTCTAGTGGTTATTTGCGATCTTAAATCTTTGATTTTTTCCTCATCTGGTTGCGATGAATTCATAATATGTTCCAATACACTTTCATCGCAGTTAAGACGATGACAAAAATCTTTATATGAGTGGAGAAGGGTATACAAGTTTCTTCCGTCTAATGTCATGAAAAATCTTATTTCCGTTTGCGAATTTATGCCTTTGTAAATATCCTCACAAATTTGTCTGGCAAGTTGAGATTTTCCGCTGCCGGGATTACCAGAAATATAGAAATATGTAAGTTTCCCATCATTATCGCTGGACAACTTTTCAAGATCTTGTCTTATTTGTTTTATTTCTTCAGATCGGTCAACAACCTCATGGGATGGCTTCACAGGTAAAACTTGAAACCATGTGTAAAGGTTGTTCTCAGTTTTAATCCTATTGATTTCATTGACGGAAAGTCGTAGGGTCTTGAATGCATTTTCAACACGAGTAGTCATCGTTTGAAAGTCGCTATTGGAGAGTTTTCCTTCAGTAATATGCATAATCTCATTTCGTATTTCTCTTAGATTGTTCACTTCGCTTTGTATGGTTGGATTAAGGCTTGAGCGACCAATTGAGTTGGAGTAAAGAATTGCAGCAAAAAGCACAGTACAATCCCACTGATTTGTGTCCCCATGTTTAAATTTTGGCAGGTAAACATTCTTCTTTGGTCCTGATGGTCGTTTTGTTTCCAAATGAAACAACTGGTTGCCACTTACACTGGTGTCATCCCATCCGGCAAGGGTGGCCTGGTAACGGTTGTTCCACTCTTGTTTAAATAATTTCCTCAATTCTTTACTCACAAGATCACTTACAATTTTTCGTATACAAATATAGTTTCGTTCCTCTTCGTTTTCCCATGGTATGGTAGTTGACATTCTTGTTATATTATTGATGAATTTCTAAATTATAGCCAAAAAAATTCGTTAGTTTTTTTTATATGGCTTCAGTTTGTGCAAATCCAAATTATCAGATTTTGTTCGTATGTTATCTAATGTACGCATTAATAATCAATCAATAAAAATCATTTTTCAAATGACGATATACATTTTCTAAAGCAATGTCGTGTTAACTCTCAAGAACGTTTGGTCATTTTATTTATTCAAATTGCTTTCGCTGCTTTTTTGGAGTAAAACTTTGTTAAGCTTGTCGATCATAAAATTCTATTTCGACAAAAAATCTTTATTTTGCTCTTACGTTCAGCATTTTATTCAACACTCTGTATATTGTGGAATGCTTTCTAGACAGTATGCAGTGTAAATAACGATTAAGATTTAATTTACAACACTGTATGCTGTGTAATGCTTGGGCAAAAATGTATACTGATTATGAGTTGCTTCTTGCAGATTTATCTATAGAACTTATTTCGAAATTGCCTCCACGACAAATGAAACCAAGGGAGGATGGTGTAGCATATTTAATATAATATCGCTTATGGTCGATCAAGTTCAGTTTAAAAAAATACGAATTTCTGGCTGAAAATAATTATTTCGTCTCCAAACCTAATCTAATACGAGAGATTACTTTCAGCACTTCAGGAGTTTAAACTCATCAACACGAGGTTTCGTATTTCCAAGTATGGCAGTCAATTGCATTTTCAATGATCAGTACAAGTATTACCAATCAGTTTGAGATTCAAACTAATTTTGTATGGAGTAAAAACGATAAAAGTCAATGAAAAATGTTTGTTAAAATAAGATCACTACTGTAACTTTAGATAATTACAAGAATTAACATGTTTATTCCTTGCCACATTTCAACCTCGTACTCAGGGTCTTTCTCCTTGGCGAGGGGAGAAAAGATCCTGGTAGACGCTGGTCACGTGATCTGCTAAAATCTAGCAGATTTCTAATCAACTATCTTGGATTCCTTTACGACAATCCTACAAAAAGCAAATTATAAATTAACCAAAAAAATTATCCAAATGTCAAATATTTATTGACCTCATCTTGGATTGCTAATTAAAAATCTGCTTGATTTTAACAGATCACGTGAGCAGCGTCTACCAGAGTCTTTTCTCCACAAGAGAAAAGATCCTGGGTACGAGGTTGGCCACATTTCAAAGAGCGACGATACAGCTTTGAACTTGAATATTTCACATCATGTATGCGCACTTCCGGGTATTCAGTGTTTGTACTGGGATTGCCAGTAAATGAGGCGAAAAACAGGTTTCAACTCACTTTAATTATAAAATATACGGAAAATTACAAAATAGTAATTAGTGGTAAAACACTGTTTTCCTTCGCACGCCATATTAGCTCTCATGCGCATGCTCTAACAAAACGTAAAAAACATCGTTCAAAAGGCGATCGCAGAGATTATTGTCTACAACTTTACTACAACCCAATACACCGGAAGGACTGGGGTCGATGCGATCGCGTCTTAAAATCTGAATGTAAATTTCTCTAATGCATTGTTCACTCAATACTATATAATGTCACTGTCCGTTCATACACTGTCTTTTGCTTCCGACTTGGTTTCCTGGTCTTGATCCATATCCACTGGTACTAATAACGATAATCGCTGAGCACTTCGTGACACAATGACAGCCTCGTTATGTCCTTTGTATTTTTGTACCTTTTCTCCAATTTGAAAATTCTTGTACATCACATTTACTCGACGAACTTTTCCGTCTTGACTGGGAAACACTTCTTGTACTATACCTAAACGGTAATCTCCTCGCAAGGTATTACGGTCGGCGATTATTACAACATCTCCTGGGCGCAGGTTACGGTTGGCTGTATTCCACTTGCGACGAATAACCAAGGTTGGGGCGTATAACTCCGTCCATTTCTTCCAGAACTCGTCTGTCACGATCTGGACAACATGATAACGCTTTCCTGGATTATTACCGTTAGGCTGCCATCCACCAGGATTCTTCGCCGTTGCTCTGCCCAGTAACAAGCTGTTGGGAGTAAGGATGTTTAATTCGGAATCAGCGCTCGGGAGGGTTCCGATAGGTCTTTCATTGAGGAGGTTTGTGGCTTCGCTACACACCGTCATGAACTCTTGGACTGAAAGACGTTGGTTATTGATTGCGAAATGAATAGCTCTCTTGGCACTCTTCACCAGGGATTCTACAGCTCCTTGGTACCAAGGACTATCAGCGGGGCCGAAGATCCAGGTCAATCCATTCTCTGTGCCACTTTTATGTAGGGATTGTCGGTCAATGCTCTTCCAGGTTTCCGTGAGTTCTCTTTCCGCACCAATTAGTTGTGATGCGGGATCACTATATATGATTTCGGACCAACCACGAACGCTGACGAATCTGCTGAGGGCCATTAGGAATGATTCGGTATCGTACCCGAACACAGCTTCAATGTGGACTGCTCTCATAACTAGATCTGTGAAGATTACTCCGTACGCTTTACCACTTGTTCTTTTCTGTACTTCTCCACGAACCGAGGAGGGTCCGAAAAGGTCTATCATAACGTGGTTGAAAGCTGGAGATGGTTTCAATCTTGCTTCCGGTAATTGTCCCATTTGCTGCTCGAGGAACTTTGCTTCTCGTAGCTTGCACATCTGACATTTACTCTTGATTGATTGAGCGAGTTTGCTTCCTTGGGTTACCCAGTAGAGTTGGCGGAATCGTGCTAAGGTTG